GGAGTAGGTTAGATAAGAGTCCCCCTGGGTGTGGGTGTGCGTGTGCGTGTGTGTGTGTGTGTGTGTGTGTGTGTGTGTGTGTGTGTGTGTGTGTGTGTGCGTGCGTGTGTGTAGGGGGAGGGGGATGCAGTAACTATGGCCTACTTCCTTTAAACTAACACCTTCCCTACACACACGCACGCACACACACACACACACACACACACACACACACANCCCGTGTTCTGCTTGAAAGCAAGTACCTGCCTCCTGCAAACTGACCAAACAAACGCTTCAACTTGTACAATTTTGAATCTGTATTTTTGAATATGGATCTTAAGTTGGCGTGACGTTGAAGCAGGCTGTAGTTCGTTTATATTATCACGTTAGCATTTTGCAAGTAGGGTAGACATGTGGATATTATCCGGCTGAACAAAACGTGATCCGTCTCTTAAATGTGTGTCAACCACAGACCTTATTTCGAGCTATTTTCCAAAATCCTATGCCGAAGTTGCATTGCGTTTTAGTCGAAGGAACCAGAAGGAGTTTACTTCCGGGTTTTAGGACGCCACTGTGGCACTCTATTTTGTGGAAGAATAATGCCTTGTCTCCTAAACACGCAAACTTGCTGAATAAAGCCGTTAAAAACATAAGGAAGCTATTTCAGGTTAGTAATCAGCATTTCTTTGACACTGTTGGGCTTTAATCAATGTTTGTTTAGCTTGTTTATTTTATAACTTAATATACAGACATACAATGACTAAAACCCTTCATCTAGGTGAAATATAGAGTTTAAAACGACCAAAAAAGGTGTATCATAACGTGGCTTAAAATTGGATGAAAAGTGCATTCATGACTTATGACAGACAGTAGGGGCTTGGACTGTGGGTTGCCAGTTCAAATCCCCGACCAGACCTAAATATGGAGTGTGGACTCCTACTTGGAAAGGTCCCAGTTCACCTCCTGGGCCCTGCCCTTGTGCCCTTGAGCAAGGCACCGGACAATTACTAGGATGGGTTAAATGCAGAGAACACATTTCACTGTGTGTGTTGTGTTGAGATCTTCATATTAGGTTGAATAATTAAAACGAAAGTTAGTTATAATCAAATATAGTCAATTATATTCTTGTATAAACCACAATGAAAATGCTTCATATTTTATGATTTTCTATATTTACAGTATAAACAAAACACAAGTGGTTTGTTAAATTGAGTGTGTAAATACATTGAGGCCCCAAAAAGGTGGTTATGTCATAGCCGAGAATAATATTTTGCAAGTCCTGCAGAGTAGTGGTCATGACCTTTTTACACAAACATGGGAAGGTGTGTCTTATGCCATAGCATATGTCTGGTCATGTCCAGTCCTGTACATCAGAGGCCATGCCCAGTTTCCACAAATATGGGTATGGAGGAGGTGTCTTTAGGTTTTTCTGTCCTGTTTTTGAGCATAAAGACACTGGCAGAGAGGGAGCAAACTGAAGAGGGGGGGGGGGTTTCCCCTGGTATACTCTCTCCCGGTAAAGCTCTTTCCCTGGAGAGCTGGGTTTTTGCTCTCGGTAAGGTTCTCTCAAACTTGGTAAATACCTCTCGAATTCCTTTGTTGAATGCGGAATGAATTTCTTGTTTGAATGAGCAGAATGAATTGATGTGTGTTTGTGAATGTTAGTCTCCCGCCACCTGCGAGGAAATGTCCTCCGAATTCATGCGGAAATAGGTACGTGTTTGTGAATGGTAGTCTCCCGCCACCTCTGAGGAAAGGTCCTCCGAATTCATGCGGAAATAGGTATGTGTTTGTGAATGTTAGTCTCCCACCACCTGTGAGGAAAGGTCCTCCGAATTCATGCGGAAATAGGTATGTGTTTGTGAATGTTAGTCTCCCACCACCTGTGAGGAAAGGTCCTCCGAATTCATGCGGAAATAGGTACAGTATGTGTTTGTGAATGTTAGTCTCACGCCACCTGTGAGGAAAGGTGCTTTTTATTATCAACGGTTGTTTATGAGGAGATGCCTCTAAATTCTATCGGGAGATTTAAATATCACAACTGAATTGGGCAGTTGAAGTTACAATTTAATGTAATCAATTTAAAACTGTGAATTGAGGTTTCATGTTAGAGCATGACCACAACATGATATGTTTTGTAGGATTGTCATGTTGTAACGAGAGAAGATAGAAACCCTGAATAAGTGTGGACCAATTATTCTTCAAATAAACTGATCCCACCTTTTGGATTGGGACAACTTCAAAGGCATCTGCGCTCTCCTCTCATGCTTAAAAGGTAAGATTGCACACTGCCACACTCACACTTAGGTAGGGCCACACCTCATTTACTGATATCAAAATCCTTCGGGATCGCTTAAACAGATTTAGCGGGTCGTCTGCATTGAAACAGCAGTTAATTGAACCTGGTTCTTCAGGAGTTAATAGAGGTGAGATCTTGCTGACGTTGGTAGATCTGAGCCAAGCAGTAAACTTACATAGACTCAATAACTTCTGTTAGGTCAATTAGTAGGTCTGAGTAATTTGCCGGAATAAATGATCAGCCCTCCCGACTCCAACACCATCCAACCAACAACAACCTGCTCTAACCGACACAGTAAGCCATGGCCCTCAGTGAATAGCAAGTGCCTGTACTATACATATTTATAAAGTATGTATGCACACTCGCCCCTGTTCTCCCTGTTACATCCCCTCCATGCCGTTTATCCGTGTTTCTCATACCTTCAGCCATACTAATCCTCTCCTAGAGACTTTGTAAATAGAAATTTGCTGTAAGCAGTTGAATGGGCTTTACATGCCGCTGCCTTCAGAGCAGACCATTGTACTCCCTTCTGTCTCCCTCTGAATTTAGCCCTGCAGGGACCAGATCAGTGTGTATTTAATTAAAGCAGGAGTAATGCACTAGGTGGCTAGATAATCCTGTTTTAATCCTGATACCCCCTCAGCTAATAATTATAATACAGTTTCATCAAAAGGGGTGTTATCTTTCCATTATTTTTGTTCTTTGCTCCCTGTTGCTTCCTCTCCAACCATTTTTCTACGCACTCCTATTTGCTTTCCGTCCTCCATTCCCAACCTCTTAATCTATCTTTCTCCCCTCTGTCAGTGTCGGTCCCGCCCTTTTTTATGTTCAAGGTCCAAGCCCTTTCAGCATTAATGATACAATGCAGTGCCATCAGTTTTAAATGAAATTTGAATTGTTTTTCGTCAGCTTGCCTTGATGTGATCAACACACTCACTCACACACTAATTTGTCTTGTCTAATCTGTAATATTAATATGATGTATGAATGAACTTGAATGATAGATTTAAAACAAAAACAAATGTTTCTCACAACTGGGATATTCATCTCACAACCGGCCCCCACTCACTCTCCATACTCTCTCGTCCCAATTAAGCACAATAAGAAGACAGGCTGGAAGATTATGGGGAAACTCATTCCCAAGTGGCATGCCTCAGTTGGTGAGGCTGTATACGACAGATGCTGATTGTAACGCTCATTCATCCTAACCAGCACTTATGCAATTAGGAAGTTGTGGGCAGTCAAGTGAACTAAAAACATTGCTTTCATATCAGTTTTGCATATTGCAGATAGGGTGTTTTTTTTTTTAGAGAAAGAGAACAATTAACAACGGTTGTTATTACCGAATATATGTTCCAGATAGAAGAAGTTGAAATACAGCCCCAAATTAGAATAAATAATGTAAATTAAGTAATAGGCTGACTGGTCTACTTTTCAGCCCCACTCAGGCCTAAAGGCAAACCTTTCCTTTTCCCTTGTAAAGCTCTTATTTGCAGGCTCTGTGAGTCAGAGTAGTAATTCTGCTGCATGGCAGAGCACATGCTGAGGAAGCAGCCTTGTACAGTCAATTTCCGACACCTCTTGTATTTCAAATTAATTTGAATTCGGATGGCTCACAAATTAATTCAAGCACAGCTATGCTTTATAAGCAATACATGGATGGATGGATGCATTGAATGATTTATTTATATAAAGGCTACAGAGCAGACAACGTACCCATTTATGGGAGGATTTTGAATTAAGCCTTACTAAAAAAGTGATAATGACCCATGAGAAGCAATCATGTGGCGTAAATTGGCCTGAGGTTTGAAGAAGGCAGATGTGTGACTTGGCTGTTATAGAAGAGTAGACCAGCACATGGCGCTGTTACCCTATACAGCCTGCACAATCTGCTGTGCGCCTTGCTTTACCGAAACGTTGTCATTAATTTGAAATATTTGAAGGAAGGGGGGCAATTTCAAAGATAAACATGGTTTCACTTCAACCTGAAGGAATATTATATTTCAGTTTCTAGAGATTGTAATATATTATTTAATAAAAAAATAATTACCAACTAAAATCATTTTTTCAAGTGGCACTTCTACTTCATTATTTACCGTAACCATTCATCGTTTTAGGTGGAATTCTCGCGATATTTGATGTAGCTGAAAATCCTAGGAGCAGAGCAGGGAACTTGACATGTCAACAAAACAGATACATTATCACCACACAGGTAACATTACACGTTGTTTTATGTGCTATGAAATAAATATGACAACTCACTGCGGAGTTGAGTTTCACGTTGTTCCGGGATAGTCAAACGACACACAGAAAGAAACCGAGCTGAAGTGCCGTGTGTAGAGTGACTGTCCACTTAGCTTTGCTGTCAACCACTCCACGTTAACATGGTAGCTAATTATCCCGTTATCACACTGAATGCTTTGGGTGTGGTACTGACAACATATTACAGACAGTACTGATGTAAAGACTCGCTTAACTGTTTCTGAAACCCCGCTACATAACTTATATTTCCGGCTATATCGTTAGCTCAGAGACTTTGTCAGTGTTGAATCTGTTTAGCTAGACAGCGCATCGTTTTTAATGATTTGTGACAGCTGTTACACTTGAGAGATGTAGCCTACTGCATTTCCTGAGTGTAAATGATGTTAAACATCATAACTATACCATTAGGCTATGTCTTTGTTTATATATGTTGTATCGCTACTTTAACTACTTGCATAACAGTTGATTAATTCGAATTGAGTGTATATCTGTTGAAGGCAAATTCATATTGTTTTATACGTCCCTATATTTAACGTTTGCTGTATTTATTAATATTTGCCTTTTTACATACTTTTCTATGCATATTGTATGATCATTGTTGGAAAGAGCCTGAGAAATAAGTTAGCCTCTTCATTGCCAATAACTGATACTCTCTAATTGTTGTCATTATGAAAATAATGAACTTCAACTTGTCTACATATACAAGCTAAATGATGCCACTATCATTATACAATAATTTGGGCAGTTGCCACGTTATTCAGATATTTGCCTGTAAAACAAATATAAGGGGGCACAAATAAAGTGTGGTTGTTTATGTAAATGCATCCACATTTCTAACTTCAGGGGCAACAATTCCCCTGTGAAAAAGACAATTTATTATGTGACTTCTGTTTTCATTTTAGACACTGATTTCATATTAAGGACAGTGAATTCTGTGACTCATCTTCTACTTTCTCCTTCCTCATCTACATTCTCCTCTTCTTCCCCTGTGTTCAACCCTTCATGTAGGCATGTAATGGTGTGGAGGTGTGGAATAGCCTGACAGGTAACCTCACCTGGACCTAGATCCTCCACCAGGATCTTCACCTGCTCTATGACAACCCCTCCGCTAGTGTCGCCTTTTGGCGGGCAGCCCCCCCCGCCCCAGCTGCAGCAGCAGGCCCAGGCAGCACGGGATGTCAACACGGCCTCGCTGTGTCGCATTGGGCAGGAGACGGTCCAAGACATTGTCCTCAGGACCATGGAGATCTTCCAGCTCCTCAGGAACATGCAGGTCTCTCTCTCTCACTTTGCTTGAATTCCTGTCAAATGTGGTTGCAGCCCCCCTTCAGATCACAATTTGCTCTCCTTCTGCCTTTCATGTTATTTGCCTTTTTCTGCCAAAGCTTCAAAACCCTTAATGCCCTTATTGCAATAGCATGGGAGAAGTAATAAACGGAGACATGTTGACACATTGTTAACATAAAAAATTAAACAGCAGAATGTAATCACAAAAAGCAAAACAGTAAGCATAAAAAAATATAAAACAAGATCCAAAATAACGTAATAATAGGTCTTATGGTTACAAGACAGAGCGCTATTATGCAAATAACAAAACAGCTGTCATTCAGGAAGGCAATTCTTTGATGTGTTTGGATGCAGGATTATAAAACAAGTCAGTGCACGCAGAGTGAATAGTAAAAGGAAAGCTGTTTACAAAGGCGAGACATCAGTACAGCCAAACCGCCAGAAGCTTAATCAGCTCTTTGTAAACTTGGGATCAGCTCCCAAGTGGATTTATGGGACAGAAGAGAGTATCAATTTCTTGTAATTTGGTCCTTATATGGATTGTTAAATAAACAAAGAAGTCCAAATGATGTGTAATTTAGAAGAAATGAAAATCAGAATGCAGAATTCTGCTGAGGCTCAGATTTAAATAGCTTGAAGAAAAAACACATTATTGTAATTTGTACAACCTCTATTCTACCAGGGATGTCATTAATAACACATTCTTATTCACAATAGCAGCCTTTCGTTTTGGCAGTTACAAAATATATTTTGGCGAAAGATAAAAAAAACAATTAATTAAAACATGGTCACTGTCACAAATAACACGTTAGTAATAAGTTGAGAGCCTGATGATGAGGGCTTCAGAGTTTAACGGCATCCAATACATATTCATTGAAGCCAGATATTTGTAATAAAATGTTGGCTGAGCAATGCATATTTCCCAACAGGAGTTGTTTGACCAGTGTTGTCAACTTGCTAATGATAGGAAATCCACACTAGCTAAACAAGAGTTTTTTCTCCTTGGTATTCAGTGATTTCTCTTGGTTGAAGGATTACTACTTTCTATTTATATTGTCAGAATGTGACATTGTGCTATCTTATATAACAGAGTGTCCGCGGGGTCTTAAAAAGTATTAAAAGTTGATAAATCGATTTAGCGAAAATTAAGGCTATTAAAAAGTATTAAACGGCATTTTCCAAGGTATTACATTTTGTAGATTGTTTTCAATAAGTATATAAATGGTCCAAAGAGGTTGTATTCTACAGTCTGCCTGAATGTAATCATTGCGTAGGTGTGTAGTGTGATTCTGTGTAGTTTATTTATGGCATCCCGTTGGATTTGACATCATCTGAACAGGACATCGCGCGCTCACACTGCTTGATAGCGCACGAAGGTCCGTTTACGCCGGTTGTTAAACAACATCGTTGTGGGGAAATGCAAGTTTGCGTCCAAATGGTTGGAAAATAAGGAGGAAGGACAATCAATACTGTATATAGTCAATGTGAGGTGAAGTGTGTCGCCAATGTAACTGGTTAAAACTCAAAGTGGCGATGAGGTCTTAAAAAAGGTCTTAAAATATATTACATTTGACTTCAGGATTCCTGCAATACCCTGTATAAAGATCCACAATCAAGGCCACAAACTAACTTTACGTTGCATATATTCATACGTTGTTAGAGAAACGTATCTTTTGGAATGGTGGAAAGTTGCAGGAGTGACGTAAAAAATGAAGCTATTGGACCTTTTGCGTATTATATTCAGGATAATGGAAGTATTTTTTATCAGTTCACATGTAGTTCAGCTCTGACGGTGTCCTGAAGGCGAGGTCAGCATGAGTTCATCATAAATGTGCGCGCTCCTCCTTAACCTTGTTAAAATCAGAGACGCGCCAACAAGCTCGCCTCCGCCACAGAATACACAAACAGCATTGTTGTGACTTTTTTTGATCGCAGGCTGCCTTTATACAAAAATTCTTCATTTCTCTTCTCTTCCCTGCCTCTCTCCCTCTGTCCGTCTGTCTCCCTGCTGTTTCTCTGACTCTGTCTTCTCTTTGCTTTCCCTGAAGGCAGGCTTCTTTCATGTTATGTAGGGTGTTTATAATCAGACAATGTTGCCCCAAAGGCTTCCGTTGTAGTTAGAAGACAATGATGCCGCCTCAATATGAGACTTGGTGAAACATTTAAAAGTGTATCAACTAAAGCATTTAGTATTTGATGTAGCTGAGTTGTTTTTGTGATTTTATTTTTATTATGAAAACCACTTACCATATTGTTGCGGCATGTGGCGCAGTGGGTTGTGCGTAGTTTCAAACCCCACTCCAGTCAGCATGTCGTTGTGTCCCTGAGACACTTCACCCCAAATTGCTCCTGTGGGGATTGTCCACAGTACTGAGTATGTAAGCCGCTTTGGATTAAAGCGTCTAACAAGCAACATGTCATGTAAAAAATGTAATGTTGCATAAACACTGATATTTACTGCATGTTTAAGACTGGTTGCTCTTAAGTAAGAATACATGTATTTTCATTCAGTGAACGTTCATCTTCCCTGCATAAGAGCACTGCTTCTAATGAGATATTACCAGTTAGGGGAACAACAGAGGATTGGAAGTGCATTTGGCAGTCAGGAGGGATCAATGACTGTTTCTTTTTATTAGCTCAAGCTCAATTGTTGCGTTGTGCTTTGCTTAACACATCGTTTTCCTCTGTGGTGATCCTCAGCTGCCTAATGGAGTCACTTACCAACCCAACACTCACCAGGACCGGCTGGGGAAGCTCCAGGAACATCTCCGGATGCTCTCTGTGCTGTTCCGCAAGCTGCGCCTCGTCTACGACAAATGCAACGAAAACTGTGCCGGGATGGAATCTATTCCTCCAGAGGTGAGACATTGAGACACTGGTAACATTTGACCTAATTTTCTCATATCGATTTGATTAGATGGCAATTGTATGTTGCCAGTTTGAATACAGGTAATATTTTGGATACTGAAGTTTCATTGAGAGTTCTAAAGTCAAAGACTCATGTTTAATGTCAGTTGTTTTCGTTGTGCTAATGTTTTGTTCTTTAGGCATGGTTAGGCAGCATTGGGCAAAAAAGCCATTATAAACTTTGAGCATATTGTGATTCAAATGGCACACCAGGTTAGGCCTTATTAATAGAAAAAGGCAAAAAAAACAAAAGCCAGAATTTGAAAGTACCTCATCCTGCAGTTCCCCCCCCTCTCTCCATGCGCTTCATACGGTAACCAGCTAAACTATTAGCTTGAAACATGTTATTTTAATTGACATTTAATTACATACTTAGCTTTGATTGTAACTGAATTGATTTGTTTTAACAGGGTAGGTTGGCAGAGCAAACTGTCCATGTCCTGTTAATAGTTTAGCAGAATAATATTAATATAGTATCAAGAACAGACGGCGTCAACAAATACGACTTTGATCTGACAGTTAACGAGATTCATGCTCAGCGAGGACAATACCAGACAGGCGGAGAACATGCTGTATAACAGAAAGTTATGTAACTTCTGGTGGTTAGATAAGTTAGATTTGAATCCTACCTCACATAACCTGGAATCGAGTTAGAGTTGTAATGCATACACCTACTGCACTTAGTTCTTACTGGATGTGGTTGCAATTGCTTTTGCGTAGTGCTGGAACTTTTATTTAGACGTGATTGATTGATCCTTCCAGATGCGAAAAACGTTGAGTCGTGCTGTATAAGATTGTCAGGATTTTTGTTTGGTGAGCTTGCTTTCAGCCACTGCCTCATATAGCCCAGCTTTTCACAGACACTGCCTGCTGAATTAGGAAGGTGTTAGTTTAAAGGAAGTAGGCCATAGTTACTGCATCCCCCTCCCCCTACACACACACACACACACACACACGCACACGCACACCCACACCCAGGGGGACTCTTATCTAACCTACTCCCTCTAGGTCTGTCTCTTTTCTCCGCTCGCAGCAGATTCATTGGTCGCTTCAGGTGAGTCTCCAGGGTCTCTTTACC